TATCAAATGTCAATTAATATTATACATTTTTGAACCACTGCTTAATATTAACAAAATACACTTTATTTTGATGAAAAATGCTGTACAATCGTTAGCAACACCACTCTGCGTAATGTAATACTTGTAATAGACCACACATACCAAAAGAAAACCAACAAGCTTTCCCCATACAAGTTAAATTTATCGCCATCTGTTCTGCATCAAGAATAGTTTAACTAGACAATAATTAGACAAATGAATTGTTCATACACAAAATAGACATCATAATTTACAACTTACGCCATGATATTTGTTTGGTATATAACTTTTTGGGCAATAATTTTCATTTAAACAAATTTATGCTAAATCCAGAATTAGGTAATTATGTGGATATGGGGGGCGTTAGCAGTATTTCCCCTGTATGTAGGGGAAGAACAATTTTAGATTACTCTGCAATCTAAGTTTCTGCTCTCACATCATAGTGCAGTACCTCACTACACACCTGACTGTATTTTATACAGTCCATTCATGAGAACTATCCACTTGAACAAACTATTACATGTTCAAGTTATGTCAATTCCATGGGCGTAATGTAATAAACTCTGTTAGCATCAGTGATGAGTATCCCTTGTTGCCATGTGCCTCATGAGCATGTTGTTTAACTTCTCAAGCTTCTTAAGGTCCTGTGCACTCTCTGTTTTATACTGAACGCACTGAAACGCAGGCAAAGTATGACATGTTATAACTTAAAGCAAGTCATAATGATAATAAACAAGGAAAACCATACAAATTTTAAAAACTCGTGCATTGCTGCATTTCGTTCATAGTCTTCCATAGTAATCGATAGTTCCAAATCATGATATAGATATCGATTTTGGTAGTCATGCATGCACACATTCACATATATTGTAATAGGTGAGAACAGACAAATTTATTAGATGCTTTTGGTTATTATATATTATAGCATTTTAAGATGATCAGGAAATTGGATTAATACTAATAGGCAGCAAAAGTTCTATAAAATTCATCAGTCCTAAAATTATTTAATGCCTTAAAGTCCAAATTACACAAACTAACCAATTGGATTTCATTTCCGCAAAGAATTTAGTTCATACCTCTACGTTGTCAGTCATCTTTACCACAATGCAGCCATCACTGTGTCGATATTTCAAGACGAATCTGGCCTAAAATAATACATTTGATATTTAAGGCTTTTTTAAAAATTTTAATATTGGTGGTATTTATGTGACTTGTTTTCATTTAAAACCAAAATGAATATACAAGTAATAAAAAAAATTACTATTTATGAGTTCTAGTTATCTACAGTAAAATTCGCATAAGTCGTCATGGAAGTCAAAGTCTCGATTTTCCCTCATCATAAATCCATTGGAATAGCCCCGCCTAAGTCATCATTTATAAGTCGCCATTATGTACAAGTCGTCGCCCTCAGACAGGTCCCATGTAATACAAACAACAGCAATTTCCCATCTGTAAGTCGTCATTAGAAATGCCGATGGCTCGCTCACGCAGTGTACGGTCTAGGGGATGTGCGAACTGGCTGTCGCAGACAGGGGCGGCGCCAGGGTATTTTGATAGGGGGGGGTGAGACGGCGTGCAAGTGCCGTTCGTCGCGCTTGCTCGACGCAGGGGAATGTTTCCCCCTCAGAAGTTGGAATTTTTTGAAAAATGCAGCAGAAATGGTGCGATTTGGTGCATACTTTTAAGCAAATTTCCCAATAAAAACTGTAGCGCAAATACACTTTTTTATCGGTCAATATGGCGGCACCCGACTCTGAACACCCTACCGCGCCGGGTGTCACTTTCCCCCGGGCGTAGATGGAGGGTGCCACTACGTGGCAGCACTAGTCACTTCGTACACTTATTTCCCTATTATTATATTATTATATTATTATACCCTTATTTCCCTAACCCTAACCCTTAATCCTAACCCTAATCTTAACACTAGTGCTGCCACGTAGCGGCACCCTCCATCTACGCCCGGGGGAAAGTGATTCCAAAAGTATAGTAGGAGGATATATAGTTCATGTTTTATATACGTGTATAACGTATATACACGAGATCGATTNGAGAGAGAGAGAGTGTGCGTGTTTGTGTTGTGTGGGCCAACGTTGGTTGCCAACGTTGGGAAAAACGTTGGCACGCTGAGCAAAAAGCCGTTGGGCCAACGTTGGCCGCCAACGTTGGGCCCAACGTTAGCACGCTGAGCAAAAAGACGTTGGACCAACGTTGGCAGCAGTCTGTATGACCCCAACCCTGTGGCGCCCCTTGGCGGCGGAAGTGACGACATTAACCGGAAGTGACGTGGCGCCCCTGGTGGTGGAAGTGACGTCATAGACCGGAAGTGACGTGGCGCCCTGGTGGCGGAAGTTAAGTCATAGACCGAAAGTGGCGTGGTGCCCCTGGTGGCAGAAGTGACATCATAGACCGGACGTGACGTTGCGCCCCCTGGTAGCGGAAGTGTCGAGACGATATATGCCGGAAGTGATGTGGCGCCCCCTTGCGGCGCAAGTGACGTCATAGACCAGAAGTGACATGGCACCCCTGGTGGCGGAAGTGACGTCATAGACCGGAAGTGACGTGGCACCCCTGTAGCGAAGCTGCTAGCTTAACGTGATCGCATTAGTGGTTATGCGTGGGTGTATGTCTAACACCCTTTGCTAACGTCTATTAGGCACATAGTAAAAAGAACACAACAGCAGTGGTATACGTATTCTAGTTATTTTCTTTAATCGTTACCTCTTAACTATGTATAATCCCATAACAGGGCAATCGCGTACACCAGGGTTACGCGTCATAACTTACGAGGCTAATGCTGTGTCGTCCGGTTATCTAGCAAATGTGCAGTATATATGTATCGTACTCTGTCTATGTTTTGCGAGCTCTCTGTCTTTCCTTCTCTCTCGCCAAGCAAGAGATTATATACCCGAACTGGAAACCCGTCTATCTATTGTTTATAGTCAACCCGCTATACGCGACTGCCTGCAATTGGTTGCCTTTACTACTGGCTAGTCCATGGTCACGACTTAAACAGCTGGGCATGTATCACAAAATAGAACAATAGCATAATAGTGTGTATTTCTTACTATGTATTTCTGCGGTAATACACCATCCACACCTGTTAGAAAAAGTTGTAAGCCACAGCTATGCGTCAAACAACGTAATAAAAAAGAAATGGTCTTGCGTTCACTTGAATACGTATTTTTATTTTATTTTATTTTTTTGTAATTGAAAGGCCAAATTTCTGTGCACGTAAACTCTAAATTTCACTATTATATATATTTTTTCCTTTTTTTCTGTTATTATACTTATGAATTGTACTATTACTATTATTAGTTTGTTATTTAAAACCTTTCTACTATTTGAACTAGTAGAACCTAGTTCTACTTAACTAACTTAACTAAAATGCATATTCATTTTATTTTGTGTTTTTTTTATGTTACTTTATGTTTATTTAAAATGAAATTCTGGCGTAGTCGCCGTCGTCGTCGTCGTCTGTGCTGGTAGTCGCCGTGGGTCTCGTCGCCGTAGTGGTCGTCGCCGTGGCAGTCGTCGCCGAGGTGATCGTCATCGTGGTGGTCGTCGTGGTTGTGATCCGTGCCGTCGTGTCAGTTATCCCAGTTGTAGAAGTCGCCGCCGTCATCGCTGCTGTTGCCATCATCGTCTGGTACCAATGTCACCCCTGGCCGCTGCTGGTTTTCTAGGGATACCCCGAGCAGCGGTGCGAGTTCCAGGGGGACAATGTTTACGGTAGTCTCATCATCGGAGAGGTGAACTACCGTCCTCCCCAGGTTGATCTCCCTGTAGCGACGTACGTCTGCTCGGAACCCCTCTCAGGCGCTATAGTTACGTTGCTGCGGTATAGCCCTGCGTAGATCAGGCGGGGCGTTGGAGGTGGGGGTCCACCGGTAGGATACCGTCGTGCCGTTGTCGTTGCCGTTGTTGTCCAGCTGCCCCAGTCAGTGAGGGGCGCAGTATGGGGCGACTGCGGTGGTGGAACGTAGAGCGGCGCAGGGGACGACAACTCGACACGCTGCCGTTTGACTGGCGACTCATCATGGTGTTGGAGGGCTCCGGTCAATGAGCCCTTGGTGTCACTGTCGCTATAATATATCCACTGTCCCTCCATTGTCTTGGCCTTGTCCATTGTGGGCTGCTCTTGTACTGTGTTGCCGGCTTCTTGGAGTCTATTAGTGCTCAAAAAAGGATAGGTTAGCGTACTGCGGTATACTGCGCGTTATGTAACTACAACGCTGTTAGTGGCACTTTGCTACTGACAGTGTGCTTACAAGACGTACAAATATGCAATTTCAAATGCGAGTTAGTGCGTCGTAAGGATGAGATATACGAATACATAACGCGAAACATAATGTAACATACAGTGTGATATACAGTGTAACATATAGTGTGACATATCGTGAAACATAGAGTGGTGCATATTGTGCCCACTAGTGCACGTTGATTAACATATGTGCTATATATCATATATGGTTAAACATGGTGAAAACCGCGTCGCGTGTGCGTCGTTGTCCTTGTTGTACTGCGAAAGTGTGAAGGCTTCGGGTTCTCGTAGTTCGACAGCGTAGAAGGTCGCAGCGTTGTTTCGTCAGCAAATGGTAGAGAAGTTAGCCGCAGCAGCGTAAATAGCAGAGGTAGAGCCGTAGTCGCAGATTAGTTGTTTCACTTGGACTTTATTGCTTACTCAACACATACAAAATATATACGATACTACAGCATAGGCAACCATGCCTATAGGCTCCGGCGCCTCGTCTCGATCTTTCTCCGACTGACTACATAGTCACGGTCTCTCTCTAAAAATCTTCTATCTATATATCTATCTATAAATCTTCTACAATCCTGTCTTATCAATTGCGGCTTATATATATCGGCTGAAACCGGATCTAGCAGAAACTAGTCTGTCAAAACCAGACCTTGGCTAAAGCAACAAGCGACGCCCGTTCGCAGGTGCGTCCTATCCCTAGCGCAAGGCGGATGCGGGAGGGCGCGCCCGTCCATTGTCGTTTGCGCGCCGCGTCAACCACTCCTATACATGTAGATGCTCTAGCTGTGACGTGCTTAGCGTCACGTCCCGTTACCACCGCTTGCTGCATACAATAATACCATTGACCCCTCTTGAAAAATTTATGTCCTCATGAAAACGTATAATAATACCGTCACCCTAACCCTAGCAAAAAAAAAAAAAAAAGGGTTCAAGATACCGATCGTGTTTACGCGAGATGGCGATGATAAATGCTTGGGGTAGAGAAGGGATGGAAAGTCCGGTTTTGAAACGAGTTAAGGGGGATATTGTTGCAGCTGTCTATAGTGAAAATGGGCACATTCTCGTATCACAGGAGGGTTTTCGACAGACTGAATCGGTACTCAACTCGAATCGGCATGGAAAGGCTAGGAATGTGGGCGAGACAAGGATACATCATCTTACCATATAAAACGCGTCAGTAATCGGTGAATTAAACAAACAAAATACAAGCAAACAAACGACGAAACAAAATTACAGATATCACCGGCTAAGCCATATCGTAAACACATATCCATAGCCAACTCTTTGTTTATTAAAAATTTGAATTCGTGGTTTTGCTATGTCGTGTATCGACCAAATGGTATCGGCAATCGTGCGACGCGTGACGAAATAGGACGTATACCCAATTCCCGGGCTTTTAGCTCGTTCGCCACTTTTAATTTACGTACTATGGTGAGTTTTGTGCTGTAGTATACCTCTGTTGGTAGGGATAAAAACACGCTGAATGCGGATTCCCTAAATTGCAACATCTGAGGTCATACTTTAAAAGCGGCTATAGGCGTCTCGCCTTTCTCATCGCATAGGCATGTACATCTCTCTTTTTGACGCTTTGAGTCACGTCACGCCGTTACCATGAGATTCGAATACCACGCTAGCTATTACTACGAATTAGGCGGGCGCAATGCTCGGCAATTTGCGAGGTAATTTACTGTTTAAAAAAAATATTTCTAAACTCGTGGCTATGTAGGCCTATACAGTGTATTTTACGATATAGCTTACCCTATCGTCGCCGTGTAGATCTATCTCTTCTCCTTCTTCTTCTTCATCTGCTCATCTGCTGCTTCTCTATTAGTTTTTCCTTCTCCATCTCCTCCGTCTGTTTCTCCCTCTTCCGCTGGACGATTGGAAGGCCTGGTTCTCTTCTCGTCTTCTTCC